TGTGTGTGTGTGTGTGTGTGTGTGTACATACACACAATATACATATATAAAATGTAGTGGTCAAATTTTCTAGGTGGTGTAAAGAAATAAGAAAATCTGCAAATTTGGATTAAAGTCAACAGAATATTTTAATAAAATAACAAGCTCACAATTTGCTGCTGGTCACACTTTCACCTTTAGAAGTTTTATTGTTCATTGGTATCCTCCCAGAGTAAATTCAAATTCAGGATGCATTGTTAGAAGTTATATTGCAAGAAGTTAGAATTAAATGTTTGTTCAAAGAAATAAAAATCACAATATTGAAGTGGGAGTAAATGATGAAGGTGATGATGATGATGCTATCTTATCCCAGTGCTACTACTTAAACATAACATCCAAGTACTAACCAGGCCCGACCCTGAGTCACATTTTGACATTTAAGCCATGATTCCTTTGAGTCAAGAAGAAATATCCTATGGAATTAAGCAGTAAGTTCTAATACATGTTCTGGCTAGGCTCAGAGTCAGGAAAGTTTCATGTTTTGACAACAAATTTGCATGCATTCCTGAACCCTGATTGATATACTCTTAAGTCACAATCAGAAAGAGTGTTTCTATTCTCTATTGTGCTTAATTCCTCAAATAACAGATATTCTGATGGACTGCCAACATCATACTACGATCCTTCCTGGGAAAAGATTCTACCACATTAAACGTGTACTTGTGCAAGAACTTTAAAAAGCAGAATTAGATATTCACTGAATCTCAGTTTATTATACATCTATGTTTATTTGGGGGGCAAGATCCGGAGTCTGAAGTTGGTGATCAAAACTTTATGAGGGCTTTTGGTTATATCTCTGTTTCAGATGGTACTGACCTTGAACTACGGCTTGTGGATGGAAGCAACCGCTGTGTTGGGAGAGTAGAGTTGAAAGTTCAAGGAAAGTGGGGGACCATATGCCACAATAACTGGAACAATGCTGCTTCTGATGTAGTGTGCAAGCAGTTGGGATGTGGAACTGCGCTTCGTTTCGCTGGCTTGCCTCATTTGGAATCAGGGTCTGGTAGTCTATGGCGTAATGTTTTCTCCTGCTCTGGTAATGAATCTTTTCTTTGGGACTGCAGACGCGAATGGGTAAATCATATTTGTAATCATCAGAAGGATGTGTCTGTGATCTGCTCAGGTAAGAGCTACATCCACATGATTACATCAGATAAAATACCTCTTTTGGAGAAATAGGACCAAGCTCTGAAGTTACAACCAAATGACATTTTTAATTTTTCTTTAAAGAATATGTTTGCATATCTTCTGGGATATTACATTGTAAACCTCCCTTCTTGGAAATGAGGTTTATACCTTCTGACACCATTTTACATAATTCTGATTGTACAACAAACTATCCAATCTAGTCAAGATTGCTATTGGTCTACATAGGTGTATGGTTTCTATTAATATTCACTATAATTTTAAACTTATTAGTTGGTATATTCATAGACAGAACTATATTTTATATAATGTTATGATTGAGTTCATTTCAGAACTTCCTTTCACTAAAATAAACTATTTTTAAACAGTACTTACCTAAAAATTTGCTAATTATTCTATGCCTTACACTAGAATAATTTTTGGCTGTAGCCATTTGTTTTCCAGCTTTAGACTCTCAACTATAAGCAAGTTACCCCTCTGCTGTTTATTTATAGTTTTTTGTGGTCAGGGATTAAAATATTGCTTCATATTTATCTCATATTAGTATTATATGTTCAAAGATGTGTAAAAAACCTGTTAACTCTTTTAATGAAATTAAACCTACACCTTCTAAGATCCTTATGAAAGAATAATCTCTAGGGGTAGACTCCTATTTTCCTCTGAGAGTCACTTTTGTCTTGACAGAAGAGGCTTCTTTAGTAAATTATTACTGACCCTACTCTACTAGCCTTCCACAAGATGTCTTCATCATCTTCTTTTCTGTAAAGTTCGAGATCAGATCATAGTTTTTAAGGAGAGTTTTACTTAAGTCTAGAGTATGTAAAAGGAAACTATGCACATAAAAAAAACACATGTAGACAGTGAGGTTTATTAGTTACAATAGCTCCCCCTTAGCCACAGGCTTGATTCTGTCCTCATAGGATATTTGGAAAAGAAAATATATTCAGAACATCTTTTAATCCTTTTCTTTCTTTCCACACTAGTCTGCTTGCAAGTTTTATGTGAGTACCAACCACTTCCACCCTGCAAAAGAGAATTGCCCGTGGTATATTTAATCAACCCATCATTTTCTAAGATTTTTCTCTACATAAATGGAAAGAAAAGAGAGGGAGAAAAAATGTTGGGGGAGAGAATATGGAGATCTGAGAAGATGAGGGAGGGTGAGAGAAGAGGGAGAAGGAGAAGGGAAGAGAGAGAGAATTTTAACCATTTTGATTTAACATACATTTTCTTGCAATAGGTTGGGTGTGGTGGCTCGCACCCATAATCCTAGCACTTTGGAGGGCCAAGGCAGGAGGACCACTTGAGGCCAGGAGTTCAAGACCAGCCTGAGCAACATAATGAGACCCTATCTCTACAAAAAAATTTTAAAAAATTAGCCAGGTGTGGTGGCTTGCACCTGTAGTCCCAGCTACACAGGAGACTGAGGCAGGAAGAGTTTTAGTCCAAGAGTTTGAGGTTGCAGTGACCTATGTCCACACCACTGCATTGTAACGTGGGCGATAAAGTGAGATCCTGTCTCAACAAAAATTTTTTTTTTACAATAAAGTGAATTCATAATAGTGTACTTCTGACTTGATATAATGTCTCTGACTTTAAGAAAAGTTGCTATTCAAACTCTGGAATTTCTAGAATTGTATGCCTCTGGCAGAGTAAGGAAGGGCCGTGAAGATACAGATGCCAAAGTGAAGTTGGAAAACAGTCCAAACAATGAAAATAGATGTGTATGTTCACCCATGGGAAAATGGGTAGTTAAGTCTATTGATCTTATCCTCAGCCCTATAGTCACAGGGATTTTTGACCAAAAAAATATAGTTTACAGTTTAGAATCTGTCGTTTGATAATTGTGTGACCCTGTATAAATCAATCTCTAAGCTGCAGATTTCTTGTACTGTGGATAGGGTAAGAGCATTAAATAAAATAGTATAGGGAAAGTACCTAAAATGTGCCAGGTGATCAGGAAGTTCTCAATAAATATGGGTACGATTATTATTATCATTATGACTCACATATTATTTATAGGAAAATAAACTTATAACTCTCCCAAGACTAATATATTCAATGTGAATCAAATTTCTCATTAAGTAGCAAAATACATATTTGTAATGATGTATGAAAAGCTAGATAATGGGAGGAGATAAAACATAGAAATTGTATCTTCTTTCCTCAATTATTTCAAGAAAGAATTGACATTTTTATTTCCTTGGACCTATTTAATCTTGCATACA